GGGTGGCAGTACCAGTCCCCCCAAAAGATCGTTAAAGTGCACATAACATTGTCTCTCATTCACACGTCCCTTATCCTTTCACTCATTCACATGTATGTTACCGCTGGATAGTCCCCTTCCCTCAAGAAGTTTATGGTGTAATGAGTGTGACTAGAAATGTATTCAAATAACTAACATGGAAGGTGGAAAATGGCAAAGGCCAAGAAAGAGACTATAAGAAAGTAGCCCTTTGGAGCTGAGCTGTTTATTTAAGCTGGGAGGTGGTAAAATGTTTTCCTCAGGGTGTGAGCCAAATTTCCCTTTGCCACCAACTGCCCCTCCTTCCAAGGATGGGGTGGAGGTCGGAGGCGTGAGGGGGGTGGGAGAGATTTTCTTCTCCTCCCTGCAGGAAGATCTTAAAAGGAGCATTCTGCATGAGAACCTGAGAACAGCTAGATTGGAACACAATACTCCAGTTCCATAACTGCTCTTATGAACACAAAAAGACCTTTTGTGTTTTTCTTGTTTATTTCAAAATTCTAGAATATCTTCATTATGCAAAGAAGGAAAAGAAAAGGGATTGGGGAGGAGGGAAGGGAGAGAAAAGCACGTGTGCTCCCTCTACATCCCATCCAAGCTTCAGGAGCTGGACTCAGTGGCAACAAGGGTAAAAGTGAAAGGGCTCAATTATGGACTCAATTGTGTCCCTCTACTCCCCAGATTCCTGTGTTGATGCCCTAACCCTCACTGGGACTGAATTTGTAGACAAGGCCTTTAAAGAGGTAATTAAGGTTAAATGAGATCGTAAGGGTAGAGCCCTAATTCAAATCCAATAGGACTGGTGTTCACATAAGAATAGGAAGAGACAGTGAGGGTGCAGGTGCACAGAAGAAAGGCCATGTGAGGACACAGCAAGAAGGAGGCTGTCTGCCAGCCAGGAAGAGAGGCCTAACCAGAAACCAAGCCTGACAGCTCTTGATTTTGGATTTCCATACTCCAGAACTGTAAGAAAATGAATTTCTGTTGTTGAAGCCACCCAGTCAGTGATATCCTGGCATGGCAGCCCAAACAGACCATAAAGGCCCCAGGAGGAGATGAAAATTCATGATGTATGTGTGATCAACTGCAGCCTCAATGGTCTCTCCCTGATGGAGTTATCTACCTCACTGGCACCTTTATGTTCATCTACTCAATAAACTTTTGTGCTTTGATTATTTTGTGGATCTAGTCCCCGACCAAGTTAGAAATTAAGTATACCTGCAATTTGGAAGAGAATGAGGGCCTTTGTTCCTAGAAAATGAGTGAGCATTTCCAAGCAGATCTCCACAGGTAGAAAAGGGGAAAGAAACCTTCAGTGTGAGCAAAGACCCAGAACCTGAGGAAGGAAAGGCTGGCTCCTTCATTTGTACCACTGGTATTTATTTTGAACACCTACAATATGCCAGGCAGTGGTAGAGGAGTGAGGGATGCAGGGAATAAAACCGACCTGCCTGCTGCTCCTTGGAACATGATGAAAAAGTATTCAGAGCGCAGAGAATGTGGAAAGAGTAATGGGAAGTAAAGCTTGGAGAGTAGGATGGGAACAGATTGTGGCAGCTTTGAACCTCTGTCTAGGAAAATATTATTCACCCAGGAGACACATAAGGAGCCATTGCAGCTCATCAAGCAGGAAAGTGTCCTAGTCATGTTTGGCTTTTAAAAATATGAATCTGGAAGCTATCAGTTGGCTCAATTGGAGTGGGAAGAAACTGGAGACTAGAGAACAGTTAAAGGATGAGTACTGCAAACCAATAATAAAATTCTAAGGCCTCCAACTGACTGAGTGGACACCCCTTCTTGGCCAAGGGGATACCAAAGAAACCTGAAAACCTAGTTCAGGCCATGATGGGAAGGGAGGTGTTGGACATACCCTGTTATAACCCCTCCCTTTGGAGTTTAGACACAACTAACCAGCATTAACATTAAAACAGAGATCATAAGACTGCCATACAAAACAGACTCTTTGTAGCAATAGGATGCCAAATTCCAACCTGACTCTGGTATACCATCACATGACAGATAACAAACCCTAAAGAAAATTAATGTGTTTTACCCAAAATATATTTATTTGATATATTTTTGAATGCCCCTGTAAAGCCATCTTTTGTGGAGGAAATTTTTTTCCTGTAGAGAACCTCTTTCCCTTAATAGTTTGGTTTTTTTTTTTTTTTTTAGAGAGCCTGACACCTTCTAAGACTCAAAAAGAGACATTTACCATCTCTTCTCTCTGAAACTTGCTATCTGGAGACTTCATCTACATAACAAGAACCTTGGTTTCCACAATCCTCCTTAACTCAAGCATTTCTTTCTGTTGACTTCAACTCTTTAGGCAAAGCTTAACTCTTTGAATCAATTGCCAATTGAAAGTTTTGACTCTACCTATAACCTGTGAGCCTCTCTCCTCAAGATGCCCCACCTTTCTGGGCTGAACCAATGTATTCCTTACGTTTATTGATTTATAGTTTTGCCTGTAACTTCTAGCTCCCTAAAATATATAAAACCAAGCTATAACTCTACCAGCTTGGGCAACTGTTCTGAGGACGTCTTGAGGTTGTGTTCCAAGCCACAGTCATTCATATTTGCCTCAGAATAAACTTCTTCAAATATTTTAATTTTTTTCCATCAACAGTACTAAAGCTCAGATGAGATGTAGTAAGAGCCTGAATGAAGGTAACATTAAAATTATTGATGTTTGCTGGCACCATACCGTATACTAATATCAACAGAAAATCTCAAGTGTTTATTGTCTTAAACTCATAAAAATACTGTTGATGAAAAGAGTCAAACTCTGTAAAATATTTGAAGAGATATATTCTGAGCCAAATATGAAGACCATGGCCTGTGACGCAGCTCTAGGAGATCCTGAAACATGCGCCTAAGACAGTAGGGCTACAGATTGCTTGGTTTTATACATTTTAGGGAGACATCAGACATCAATCAGTACATGTAAGATGTACATTGGTTTGGTCTGGAAAGATAGGACAAATCAAAGTGGGGACTCCCAGGTCATAGGAAGATTCAAAGATTTCCTTATTGGCAATTGGTTGAAAGACTTTATCTATAGACTTGGAAGCAATAGAAGAGAGTGTCTAGGTTAATATAAGGGGTTGTGGAAACCAAAGTTCTTATTATACGGATGAAGACTCCATGTCACAGGCTTCAGAGAGAATAGATTGTAAATGTTTCTCATCAGACTTAAAAAGGTGTCAGACACTTTAGTTAATTCTATCCTAAATCAGGAAAATAACTGGAAAGGGAAGAGTGAGGAGTACAGAAGGTAGATTTTTCCCACAAGAGACAGCTTTTCACGGCCATTTCAAAATATATCAAAGAAATGTACTTTGGGGTGTGGGGAAAGAAAGAGAGATCAGCCTGTTACTGTGTCTATATAGAAAGAAGTAGACATAAGAGACTCCATTTTGTTCTGTATTTGAGATGCTGTTAATCTGTGACCCTACCCCCAACCTTGTCCTTGCAAGAGACATGTGCTGTGGTGACTCAAGGTTTAAAGGATTTTGGGCTGTGCAGGGTGTGCTTTGTTAAACAAGTGCCTGGAGGCAGCTTGCTGGTTGCGCAATGTTGCTCTTTATGCACTAAAAAGGTTTATGGAGATGTTTACATATGCATATCAAGGCACAGCACTTTTCCTTAAACTTATTCATGTCACAGAGAACTTTATTCATATGTGTTACTGCTGACTTTCTCCCTATAATGATCCTATTACCCTGCCACTTCCTTTTCTTTAAGATGGTAAAGATAATTATCAATAAATACTAAGGGAACTCAGAGACCGGTGCCGGCGTGGGTCCTCTGTATGCTGAGCACCAGTCCCCTGGGCCCACTTTTTCTTTCTCTATACTTTGTCTCTGTGTCTCATTTCTTTTCTCAAGTCTCTTGTTCCACCTAACGAGAAACGCCCACAGGTGTGGAGGGGCAGGCCACCCCTTCATTGGGGTAAAATACTTCTATTTCTTTCAGGGCCCACTTTGTTGTCATGTTGATACCTAATTGCTACAAACAGTCCGTTTTGTCAGTTTTAAAGTTTCTGCTTTAATGTTAATGCTGATCAACTGTGCTTGAACTCCAAAGGGACAGAGGTACAATGAGGCATGTCCAACCAGCCATTCCCATCATGGCCTAAACTAGTATTTCAGATTTACTTTAGGATGCCCTTGGCCGAGAGGAAGGATCTTTCAGTTAGCTGGGGGTTAGAATTTTAATTCTGGTTTACAATACTATCATGTATTAGCCTTGGAAAAGTTTCCCTAACACAGAGTTTTGTTTTCTAATATCAAGGCAACAAAGCATAGGTCTTTTAGCCACATCTAATACAGTTGTAATCTGGGAAGTGGTGGCCACATTGTCCAATGTCCTATAGATCAATAAACTCTTTTTTTTTTTTTTTTTTTTTTTTTTTTGAGATGGAGTCTGGCTCTGTTGCCCAGGCTGGAGTGCAGTGGCCGGATCTCAGCTCACTGCAAGCCCCGCCTCCCGGGTTCATGCCATTCTCCTGCCTCAGCCTCCCGAGTAGCTGGGAGTACAGGCGCCCGCCACCTCGCCCGGCTAATTTTTTTTGTATTTTAGTAGAGACGGGGTTTCACCGTGTTAGCCAGGATGGTCTCGATCTCCTGAACTCGTGATTCGCCCGTCTCGGCCTCCCAAAGTGCTGGGATTACAGGCTTGAGCCACCGTGCCCGGCCGATCAATAAACTCTTAATATCCAGTTCAGAAGCCAGAAAGGCTCCTATGACTTTGTAATTAATTTCAGCAAATTATAATAAAACAGAAGACATTGTCAGATTCAGGTTAGGGAAAGAAGTTGGAATCTGTTCTGAGATATTCTGGCTATGGACCATGGGCAAGTGACTTAATCACTGAACTTCCTCCCCTACTCCAATTGGTGGACTTTGGGTAAATATTTAACAACTGGCTCTCCAAGAAAAAAAAAGCCATGATTTATAGCTTTGCCAATTTCTAGAGTTTTAATACTCCCATCACGGCCAGTTTCAAGCCAGCAATGTGATGTCAACAAGTTCACTGAATTCCTAAAATTTAACAATTGATTCTCAACAAGCCAGCATGAGCCAGCTCTAGCACACCACTGCTTCCAAGGATCAGCTTCCACATCTGAAAAATGAGAATCACACCACCTCCACATGGCCGTTGTCAGGACTGAGATAATGTAAGTGAAAATACCTAATACAGGGTTGTTAGCATACATGGGGTATTTGAGAAATGTTTGTTTAGTATTTACTGAGCACCTACTATGTAGCAGACACTTCCAGGAACTGAAGATTCATCAGAGAACAAAACAAGAGGTCTGCTCAGCTAGGATTGATGTTCTAAATGGGAGAGACAACCAGAAAGAAAAAAGAGAAGGAGAGAGAGAGACAGAGGATATAGAAAAAAATAGCCAGTCAGTTAGTCTGGCAGTGATAAGCACTAGAAAGAAAAATCAAATCCAATAAGGATGAGGAGAAAAAGGAGTGGTATGGTAGGTAGGGTATGTCAGGTATGGTAGCCAAGAAAGACCTCACTGGTGAGAGACATCTGATGAGGAATCCGAGTGGAATAAAGGCATGACTATGGGATTATATGGGGAAGGGTGTCCCAGGCAGGGCAAGAGCTCATGCCAAACCCTGGGGCAGGTATGATGGGCTGGGCCAACTCCAGAGACAGAAGGAGGCCAGTGGGGTGGGAGAACCTGAGTGAGAAGATACAGGTGGAAAGTGCAATGGGAAGGGAAGAAAAGAGCAAAGGTGAGGCGGGGGAAGTCTCAAGCCCTAGACATGTCTTAGGTGCCTTTAAGCATCTGGAGACATAGTGGGCAGGGGCCAGTGACAGACAGGGCTGCACTCCTGTCCCTCTGCCTTCCCTACACAGAGGAGGATCTACCAACTGTGCTCCAATGGCCTCACTCCTTCATGTTTTCAACTACTCAAATGTTTGCTCAAATGACAAATATTGACTCCAATGGCTTCCACGGGCAGGCAGCAGTCTTAGCTCTAGAGACAGAAACTGTGAGCAAAACTTGAGCTCTTGCTTTTCATGGACCTACCTGGCCATGGAAGAAGACAGAATACATCAAAACATAAATAAATGCATTGGCTGGGCTACGAAGACAATCAAACAAGGTGGGCTGACAGAGTCCCCCTCTTAGATATAAAAATCATCTTGGGCCAGGATCCTCCTGTCACCTTATATTTCAATGCCTAGTTCTAGCACAGTACTAACTGGTGCTCTGAGTAGCATTGCTCTAAACAATTGACAAACAGTAACCAAAGTAGGCTGGCAACAGCCCCAAGAGATCAAGAGAGCCCCCATTTTCCTCCTGGCATGAACTTTTTCAAACCACAAGGCTGAGGAAATGCCAACCCTTTATATAACTAAGAAATCTCTAAGACATGGAGCTTTTTGTTTGCTTGGTTTGTTTCTCTTTTTGTTTTTTAAAATGTGGTTCTTAGGACACCTGCCACAAAATCATCGGGGATCTTTATTAAATAAAATACAAATGTCTGGGCCCTGCATCAGACCCACTGAATCAGAATAACTGGAGAAGGAGCCCAGGCAACTGTATTTTCAATGACCTCCTAAGGAATGTGGATGCTACATTGCTGATGCTTGAGATCCACTGCTCTAATGCAAATGTGCAATCCACAAGGCTTCTTTTCATTTCAGTTGTAATTGTCTCCACAAAGCATTCTTAAGAAAGCTCTTCTGTAAACTTCCTTTGCAGAAACTGCAGCACCAGTCACAAGCTGATTGTTCAGAGAAATGCACAGGGAGACAGGGCCCGCGTGACGGGAGCAGCCCATCAACTGACCCATTCATTCGAAAAACTCCACGTGTAGAGACACTGGATGGCTTTAGTGGAAGCACCTCATTGTCTGGGGAGCTGAAGGAGAGACTTTCTAGAATATTCCCTACCTGTGAAGAGGGCATGGTAGTGGAGACCCTTCTCCTTGTCCTGATGGGAGCAGACATCAAATAAGTAGGCTTTGATGGGCCCATCAATGAAGTCAGCAGCAAAATCAAAGAGAACCACACCTATCATGGTGACACTTACGGCCCAAACCAGCTTCCTCCTTGGGTTAGCAATCAAAGCTAAAAGAAAAATAAACATTGGTCTCCTAAATCCTGTTTTAGAATCCTCCGTGTTTTGTAATTTCCACCTAAACTTCTTGCCATGAAATCATCTTCCTTGCTTTTATTTTGCTTTTTTTCCCAAATAAAAATACCTTTTTTTTTTCAGGTTTTAAAAATTATGCAACAAAAGTCCGTAAAACACAAATCTATGGAGACAGAAAGTAAATTAGTACTTGCCTAGGGCTGGTGCATAGGAGAGAAGCTGACGTGACTGTTGATGGTAATGGGTTTCTTTTTGGGGTGATGAAAATATTCTAGAATTAGAGAGTGGTGATGGTTGCACAACCTTGTGAATATACTAAAAGTCACTGCATTGTACACTTTTAATTAGTGAAATTTCTGGTGTATAAAATATCTCTTTAAATAAAAAAGTATGCATGCTTATCGCAAACAATTCCGATTATATAAAAAAAGCTGAGGGAGATGCTTCCAATCCCAGCCCCACTGAAGGTCAGGCTTTGAGGCCTCCTTTTACTCACTTGTGCACATGCAGACACAGGTGTACAATGGTAGTCGAATGCAGTGCTTCTCAAAGTTTGGCATGTTGAACTATCACTTGTACGTCTTGTTAAAATACAGATTGCTGGCCCCATTCCCAAGACTCTGATTCAATTCGTGGGCCTGAAGTGGGCCTGAGAAACTACATGTCTAACAGCCCCTGCTGATGCTGAGGGGCAGGTCAGCGGCCACATCTTTGAACAGCACTGACGCAGTAACCAACTTTCTTCATATAATTTCAGCTCCTCACAATTTTTAATAGCTGGATTTTCATTCTATGGATACCCTGTAATTCATTTACCCAATCTCCTATAAAAGATACATTGTTGTTTCTCTTGTTTCAGGTTGTTTTTTAAACTTAAGAATAGCATAGATTATCTACACATTTTAAAAATTACAGTATAAAATTAAATGAACAATAAGACTACCCGCCGCTTCTCACCTCCAGTCCTTTAGTAATCCTCCTTACAGTCAATAGCACTTGCCAGCTTTTTGTTCATTCTCCCGGAAATAGCCTACATTTGTACATTTACGCTTTCTTTGAAGTATGTACAAATCATAATTGATTATCCTGCCTCATAATCATCTATTCTGCTGGCTTGAGAGTTAATGGTCTAAAAATGTGTGCTATTTTTAGCGATCCTTTTTGCAATGCAACTTTATTGTACTACCATCAACTACTGATTAATTGGTAGCTGATTAATGGCTAGAAAAAATGCCTACCCTCAGGTTTGATTTTGTCCAGAATTCACAATGCCAGAAAGGTCCTCTTGAGCTGATGGGCTTATGCCCTCTGCCTATTAAAATGCTCTACATAAAACTATGAACAGAATTAACTCATTTGGATACACAGGTGATTTATTGTAAATATTTATGGAGCTATTTGGCAGCTGGTCAATTTGATAAGAGTATTAAATAGAGCATAATGGGCTCAAAAAGTAACTCGATTGATAAATATGTAAAAATATTCAATTTGATAAAATAGATACAGATTTGATAAAATAGATACAAATTTAATCCTATTTTTAAATCTTCACAACAATGAAAGATATTTATTTAGATATTTCTAGAAGTAAAGGCTCCCCTACCACAGAATCTGGGCCAAATTTGTCAAAGGGGAAGTTCATTGTAACCTAGGAGAGATCGATTGTAACAAATTTCTAGGAAAGGTCAAACAAATTAACATTCTCCTCCTGCAGAGGTACACAGTAGGACACATATCCCTGCCTGCCCACCTTGTGCAGCCGACTTACCTGCTACAACAGTGTCCCCATTGAGGTACAGAGCCATGCCCACGAGCATCATGACTCCCAGGGTGAGGATGTAGGGTCTCCGGCGGCCCCACCTGGACCGGCAGTGGTCGCTGGCCGATCCGACCACGGGCTGCAGCAGGAATCCCAGGATGGGGCTGAGGAACCACACAATGCTGTACAGACTATTGGGCAGACCCACGCTGAGCAGGACTGGGGTCACATACGCTGCCTCCACTGCGTAGCAGAACTCTCGTCCGAACATGGCCATGCTGTGCATAATGAGTCTGCTGGTGGGTCTTTTAGGTGGCTCCACAGAGTCAAAGGGGCCATCATCAGCCAGGGATTTATAGATGTGGCCACCAGCCTGCCCACTATTGCCACCCATGGCCACTGGGAGAGGAACCTTCCTGCGAACCCACCACCTCCTGTGCTAGGGTCTGTGCTTCGAACTGGGTTTGCGGAGCCTGGCCGAGCAACCAACAGAGATGGTCAGGCTGGGGGAGGGGCTTAAATTCTTTCCTGCCTCTAAGATCACAAGTTATGATGAGAGGGAGGGGGTGGTGCTGGAAAGCATGACAGAGATTAGCAGCTGTGAGTGAGCCCTCTGGCTCCTTAAGACGTTGGAATATTTTTCTAAAGGGATCCTCCTTTGTACTGTTCCCTCTCTTTCTTTCTCTCTCTCTCTCTCACACACACATACACAATTACACGTGATCACACACGGCTTCTCTCCCTCTCACACACACGTTATTACACGTGATCACACACACGGTTATCTCAGATGGTATTACACATAATCACAAACACGGTTTCTCACACACATTATTGCACATGGTCACACACATGGCTTCTTTCAGACGCTATTACACATGATCACACACATGGCCTCTCTCACACACACATGCTATTACACATGATCACACACATGGCCTCTCTCACACACATGATATTACACATGATCACACTCATGGCTTCTCTCTTACACACATGCTATTACACATGATCACACACATGGGCTCTCTCACACACACGTTATTACACATCACACACATGGCTTCTCTCTTACACACATGCTATTACACATGATCACACACATGGTTTCTCTCTCACACACATGCTATTACACATGATCACAATATGGCTTCTCACACACACACATTATTACACATGATCACAGACATGGCTTCTCTCTCACACACATGCTATTACACATGATCACACACATGGCATCTCTCACACATATGCTATTACACATGATCACACATGACCTCTCTCACACCCATTATTACACATGATCACACACATGGCTTCTCACACACATGCTATGACACGATCACACATGGCTTCTCACACACACATGCTATTACACATGATCACACACGTGGCTTCTCTCACACACACATTATTACACATTATTACACACATGGCTTCTCTCACACACATGCTATTACACATAATCACGTGGCTTCTCTCACACATTATTACACATGATCAAACACATGACTTCTCTCTCACACATGCTGTTACACACAGCTTCTCTCACAAACACATGCTATTACACATGATCACACACATGACTTTTCTCACACACATGTCATTACACATGCTCAAACATGGCTTCTCGCTCTTGTACACACGTTATTATACATGATCACACACATGGCTTCTCTCTCTCACACACTATTACACATGATCACACATGGGACTTCTCTCACACATTACTACACATGATCGGACACATGGCTTCTGTCACACACACATGCTATTACACATTATCACACACGACTTCTCTCTCACACTCATGCTATTACACATGATCAAACACACAGCTTCTCTCTCTCACACCCGTGTTATTACACATCACACAAGGCTTCTCACACACACTTTTTTTACATGATCACAAACATGGTTTCTCTCATGAACACACAATTACACATCACACATGGCTTCTCTCACACACGTTATTTTACATGATTACACATGGCTTCTCTCACACATGTTATTACACATGATTACACACATGGCTTCTCTCACACACACACGCTATTATACATGATCACACACATGGCTGTGAGGTAATAAAGCCTTATTACATAGAGGTTATGTCAAAATGTAAATAAATTGATATCTTTTTATAAACTTCTTTTTATAAATACAGACATTCTATTTTTCCCTGACTACAAGTTTTCTACACACATAGCTCAGGAGTGAAATAACTAGATTTAAAATGGTGGTAGGTCACACCCTTCTTCAAATCATTAGCTGTCAGATCGCCCTGATATTTCTCCTCAATGTACTTAATACATTCTACAATAAGATAATTCTGAGTTTATTCCATATCCTGTGTTTGTCTTTGATTTCCTTAAGAGCAGAGAACAGGTCTGTTTTGTTCATTATGTCATCCCCAGGAAGTATCATGATACCTGGCACCTAGTAGATCCTCAATAAATATTTTCTAAAGGAATTACTGAGTGAATAAAACATACACACTACATTTTGTGCTGCCTGTCTGCTCAGATCTATTTCCTTTGGTGCTCTTTATCTTATGGGGCTACATTTCCAGGGTTCCCTTGTTTTTTGGCTTCTAGGTAGATTTGGCTAATAGGATGCACTGGTAGGAAGACTAGGGGAGAGAGAGCAGGAAAGAAGCCAGGATATTTCCCTAGATTTCTTTCTTCTCCCTGAGGTATTACTGGCAATGTCTGTGTCTCCAAGGTGGGTGCAGCAACTTTGGCTTCTGGGTCCAGGTAACACCAGCTTTCCCATCACCCCTGCATTCATAGGAGTAGTCCTGGCTTCCTAGTTTTGTTCATATCAGGGTTGCCTCGATATCTCCTGGGCTTCTCTGCTCTTTAATCACCAGTGGAATTCTTTATATTAAATTTCCTCCGTTTTAAAGATTTCGAGTGGGTTATATTTTCCTTGCTGGACCCTGAGTTCAAATGAAAAGTCTGAGTTGTAGGGAAAGCAATCTTTTTATTATTTAGTTATTTATTTATTTAGAGACAGGGTATTGTTCTGTTGCCTGGGCTAGAGTGCAGTGGCGCAATCCTAATTCACTGTGGCCTCAAACTCCTGGGCTCAAGTGATCCTCCTGCCCCACCCTTAAGTAGCTAGGACTACAGGCACACAGCTCCATACCTGGATAATTTTTTTATTTTTATTTTGTAGAAATGGAGGTCCAGCTATATTCCCCAGGCTGGTCTTGAACTCTTGACCTCAAGTGATCCTCCATGCC